TAGTAATTTAAAAAATCCTGTTTTTGAATTACCTCGCCAGCATTTATTCATTGCACGATATCGTTTTAACTGGTATTTAATTTGAGGAAAGAAGCACAAGTGGCTCTGTTTCATCCTTATTTTGTACGAGAGAAGTTCATTCACACAAAATGAATGGAACGAAATGCGATTCACTGGTGGGTTCCGCGTAACTGCACTCGTTTCCACTTAATCTTGTTCCGTTTACGAGCACAGCTGTCTTTTTTGGCGATCGCAAAACTCGTGAATAATGCCGCGACACAAAGAACCCAATTGCAACTCCCCGTCCAGCGTCGGTCCTTTTTCTATCCGTACCTATAACCCGGACCACGATCTCTTTTGCCTTCCGATTTTCCAGCTTCCTGTGTGTACCTCAAATACACGAGACCGTTCGAGTGCCGTTGGAAAGGGTTTGAAGGCCAATGAACCGAAACTATTTACCTGGTCGGACTTGGCTTGTACAAATACAGGCGGCCCTGGGATGCAGCCATGCATTTTGCGTGTATATGCATTGAGCGATACCTGTCGATTATCGAAACGATGCTGGCACAAACAGTCGTGACGAACTTTATGAAATGAATCTTCCCCTCTCTTTTTTTCCTCTACCTTTTCTTTCAAGACCCAGAGCACCGGAATGTATCGAGTCGAACTTTATCGGAGCGTAGTCGTGGTTGCATGAAATCGCGGTAAATTGTTAATGTTCTCTAATGTATACCAATATCATTTGCGGCATTTTATCGAGGACGTTCGGTTAAAAATGAAAACGAAGACGAAGGTTCTATCGATCGACGCCACTGACCTAATAATCGAAACATTAACTATCGGAAGAGAACGGTTTCTACCATTTCTTGCGCCATACCTTTAATCGGGCCATACAGGCAGGAATTGCGATTCTTTCGAACCAACTACCCGGAAAATCGACAGATTGAATAACTAAAAAATTAATACAAAGCATGCCACCCGAGTTACGTTGTTCAGCTCCTACCGATTAAGCTTGTCGGTACAGATTCTAAAATTTTCTTAATTTTTCTTTTCTTTCAGATTCATTTCTCTGTCCGTTTAATGGATTCTGCTTAACGTATATAGATACTGACAAGATCAAAAGGATTAACAATTAGCCGTATCTAATGTTACATCGAACCCATCCTGTCCTAAATAAATACAAATTGATCCCGAAAGCTGATCTATCCCGCACTAGTGAATTCATCACTCGACCAGGCTGGCAGTTCGAGAGGTCGAGCTATTAAAATTCAAAATCGCCTCTACCGAGCGGATTGCTACTTACACCTAGTTTGAGCTGCTCTGTTTGCAGGAACGAATGTTACATCTAACAGGAACTAGGTTTAAACGCAAATCGATACTAATTCATAGCGCGGTCGGCGCGCGTAAATATCATTGCGTCAGGCTGCATACACATTTTGGGGCATCCTCAGTTTGGGGCTCAGAGGGCTCTCGATGGGAATTTAATTTTCGTTGTCAAAGGGGATGGCCGCTTATGCGAATTTAGCATGCGGCGGAAAGAAACGTGCAAGCACACAGGGAGTGCAGTGTGATGTGAAACGGCAGAATGATGGGGATTGAGAGGATGGTAGTCGTGTTAGTGGGTGTGGCAAGGCAGTAGGGTGAGTACGAGGTGGTACAGAGGGTGGATTCAAAAAGAATGAAATAACGGATTGGGTTGCGGCCAACTGGCCGGCTTCCAACCAATCCTTAGTCGCCTGGATGCGGGAGTATATTATGTATACCATTCACCCGCCTTATATCCGTGCCTCGTGGAATCGTCCCGATGCATCCCATTGAAAATCATATTTCCCTGTTTGCTGTGCATCCTTAGACATAAGGCTTCGAGTCGAGTATAGAAACAATAATTGAGAACGAACGGTCCACCGCGTTGCTTCTTCAGCGAAGAGCTTCCCGATGTTCATTAACGATACTCGAGCGACTTTCGCAGGGTCATCTGGTGCGGAGGCGCGAATTTTCCGTGTGAATTCCTCGCAATTACGAGGATAAATAGTGGCAGGCATGCTGGCGTATTTTTTTGAGTGTTACGTGACTGTTGGGAAACTGCCCATTTTCGGGATCACGGGAGAATGGGTTAAGCGATGAGAACGGGGCGATTAAGTTTAGAGTTGTTATTCATCGATGGAGTTTACTGTCGCGTGAAAAATGAAAAGTCCTGACGAACTTGGTCATGTGTACTACTTTAGAATTAGGAAGTTGAAATTCATTCGTTTAAACAGATGCCTTCTATTTGTGATGAGTCTTTTTGATGCCAACTACAACAGACATCGGTAAAGTAAAAGAAGTAAAAAGAAGGCCAATAGTAGCGGAGTAACTGCATCAAGAAAAAATAATTTACGAGAAGCATCTTTACTTCTAAAGATTAGAATTCCTTTTACTCTATAGATCTGATCTCATTTAAGCGCAAACACGTTTTCAGAAATATTTCAATCATCTTTATGGACGTTTCGATCAATCAAATGTCGATATACTTTCGGCATTGTGGATACAACTATGTTGAAAACCATTTGAAGGAAATGAGAGGTCTGGGCGTAAAATGCAGAAAGATAGCGAATGAGCAATCTATCTTTTCTCTGACTTTCCAATAATTCCCGATTTGTTACCATTGTGGTTAAATGAAGCAAGTTGGAAGAGCGAAGGAGATCAAACCTACAAGTTAGATGATTCTCAGTTTAATGCTTACCGTTCTCCCTAATCATTGTTTTAGTTTGAAGTTTTAAATTATAAAGTGGCGAAGAGAATTTGCCAAAATTCAACTCATACGATACCCTGACAAAAACTTTAGTTGGATCTGCGTACTATGTACACTGACGTATGGACTTGTTTTTTTTTAAAAGATCAATAAAAAATAGTATTTCTATTCCTCTCCCTTTATCTAATAAATTGTAGCTTCATGCGAAGAAACTAAATCTTCACGTGTTCTATAATTTCTCCAATAATAATTACAACAGGGTATTAATTATTTCTTTTAAGTTAGTTTTCCAGGAAACGTGGATGTTATTATAAGTATTTTGAACGATGCGAATAAGGAAATAGAAAGAATCGAGGAGATTAAGATAAGAAAAAGCTTTAGTGGAAACTTCAAAAAGCCGTTTGTCGATAGATCAACGTCATAGCTTGCTTCATGGTCCTATCTATCCAGCGTGTCGCTTGAAGCTGAAACATCGAGCACAAATGTAACTGTTTCCAGAAAATGGCAGAGTATCGATTTAAAATAGTAACGAATTCATATAGAATTTTAGACGAAATTGGCACAATATTACTACAATTGGGATACAACGGAACACAGGGAATTTTCTGTAATTAACTCATTCCGTAGTGACTGCGAATCTAACGATAATAATTTACTGCTTAATAACTTGACACTGTATCAAAATATGTAGATCAAAAAAAATTAAAAATAGTATATAATATAGATAGCCTAGCAAAATTTATTGCGTTCAGAAATTTGAAATTTCACGTTATTTGTCGAAGTTTGAAGTATCTTTTTTGAGTAGAACGATAATATATTTCTCCCTGATCCTTTATGATTTTAAAATTATTATTTATATGTGAATTCTTTCGTATTCAAGCGTTCAAGATTAATTAATTTAATTGACGAATAACATTTTTCCGATATCACCTACCTTTACTAAGTTTTTAATTGCATGCAACATCCCGTACTTTTTCCCAGGAAAGGGTATCGGTCTTCACTCGATGACCGTGCTTTCTAAATGGGTAATAAATTTATTGCGTTCAATAACTACGTGCAGAAACGACGAATAAATCACACGCCTGTCTGCTAATTACATTGTATATATACCGTTTCAAGGCAGACGCTCTCGTACTGTTATATTTTTGACCGTAGATGGAAGAACAAGTAGGCTGGGAGATTCATTAATTTATAATACGTGATGGACAGCGATTGAGTAAGTCAATTCGCTTTAAATATTTCAATGTGCAACCCGTTTCATTAAGATTCTTCAGATACGTTGCTATTCTGATAATTAAATTACTCTCGATTCTTGTTGAACAATGAAATATACGCGCAATAAAAGTTCGATAGTAATATATGAAAATATCTTTTGATAAATAGAATTGCATGAAGGACTCTGAAATACTTCTCTGAAATTTCCTACTTTTACCTGCATTTTATAAAAATTTCATTTGACTTCGTGCGAATAATACCTGTTAAATACAAGAGATCTTAAATTAAATTTATTATTTGACATAGCTGCCTGAACTTTATTAAAATTTTGATGTTTGATTTTATGCGAGTGCTCAGAGAAATGCTTGCCCTTCAAATGTCGTAATTAAATATCATTTTTGAACATCATAACAAGCATTAGTCATTGTGATTTTAAAGTCAGTAACAAAGTAACGAATTCAGGGCTCTTTAGCTTGCAACAAATAGAATGAATCGATCACACAATGAAACAGAATTGGTAACTAGATCCGGCGTAATTCAATATTTTAATTTTAGGAAACACCTGCCCCGAGAGCAAAGGATCGCTAGAGACGAAAGAGATAAAATGGCCCTTCTTCCTATGTTTTGCATTTCACTAGTGAAAAAATGTTGAAGTATATAAATAAATACGAATCGACGTGCAAATTTTAATATCGTGCGAATCATTAATCACGACTTTTATCCAATAACTTGCATAATTTCACGGGACTTTCAACTGCGATAAATTCAACAGGCTACCACGCTAAGTCGAAAACTTTGATTGTCTCTGTATACTACATTAAAATCTATAACTTCATTCGTGTTTAAAATATTCATCTTTTACTTTTCACCATGATCTTTTTACGCGATTTGATTAATATTATCAGCAAAATTTCCATATTACAGGTTTTAAGTAATCGGTGCTAACAAATTCTTTTGCGTAACACTTTTCTGCTTCAAGATTTTAATGGCAGAGCTAAACGTTGTTCGAAACATTAATCGGAACCCGTTTAACGATAACGATTGTTGGTTACAGCGCGGACGAAGGCTTCGACGGCACTTATCCGACGAACGTCGTCGTGAAGAACAATGGGACCTGCTTATACGTACCGCCCGGCATATTCAAAAGCACTTGCAAGATAGACATTACGTGGTTCCCCTTTGATGATCAGCGCTGCGAGATGAAATTCGGCTCCTGGACGTACGACGGTTTTCAGGTAGGGAATACCGCACCATAGGAAATGGGTCAGCACGTATCCGTTTCTTTTCAATCTTCCGCTTGCGTTTTTATAGTCAAGGTACTTAGCTAAGACATGCCAAACTTCTTAAGAGGGAAAAGAAATTTCTCTAAGTACATAACGATATTTTACGATTCGACGCGACACGTGGTACATAAAACGTTAGGAAATTCTTTTTTTGTTTTTGTTGTTGTCTAGTGTTTTCCATGCATGTGTTTTTAAGAAAAAATATCAGGGAATATTACTTTAGGAGAAGGTAGTTGCAACTGAATATTGCCTTATTATTTGAAGATGTTGGAAAATAATAGCTTGGAAATATACAACAGATTCTGTTCCCATAAAATCAAAAAATAAGGAAGATCAAAAAATAAGAAAGATAAAAAAAATTAAATTTCTCAATTGTGTGTACTTTTGCTGGCAAATATTAAATGCCCTAGTAAGATTTTGCATCCGTCGGCGAGGTTCAACTGTTGATTGGGAACGATTTTATGTACCTAAATTTATGGCTTCAGAAGTCTGACAACCAGAATGTCCCAATTTCGATATCCTTGATTATTATTTCTACAATACTTTAGAGCAAAAAGCTTACCGTAAAAACTTGTCCGTAGTATCGTTTTCGTCCTCGTCCTGTAAAGTTATTCTTGTTGCAAACAGAATTTGTGGCAGGACTATGTATAATATGAGATGAATAGGATTTAAAGAATTGAAATGTACTTTTTGGACGAGACTCCATTTAATCCTATAAGCCGTTAATGTCGTTAAAGTGTCCGTGCAGTGTCGTCTTTTTAGCAATCTGATGTAAATGCAGCGATGCTTCCGGAAAACATTATTCCAAGGGGATTCCTGAAAATTTGTGAATTGTGAATGGTGAATTTCGGGTAACAATAAATGCGACAGTGTAGCATGCGGAGGATTCTCAGTAATGCAGTTTCTCACTAGCTGTTTCAATTGGTTAATACAATGTCTAGATAGACTCCTCCAAAATTTCTTCAACGTGGTGCTTCTGTTTAAATCGCTAGAAAAAGGGAAACGTAAAATTGCGCGACAAAATGGACAATTTTGACGTGTTTCTTAAAATATGTTACTGCGTATCTCGAAATATAAATATAATATATAAATATTTGTTTCTTCACAGTTTTTGTCTAACTTCGAAAATTCTCCAAACACATATTAATTGTATAAAGTAAACACAATGAGTTTATAGATTTTCGTGAATCCAGCCGAATTATGAACACGCGGAATAATAATTTTTTTTCTAAAATGTTGAGGTTGACTGATAGAAGAACGAGTGGATGAATTCGTAATAGAACAATATATTGAAATAAGTATAGATATAAGTACAGGTATAGTGTATGCTGATCCAAATCCTCACTCTTTCAGTGTTACAATACAATAGAAGAACGTATGATAGGGAGCACGTTTATAATACATTTATAGCAAAGGACATTACCAAAAAGTTAAGTTAAGGCTCTAGCTGAAGGCTACAAGAAACAGCAATAGAAATCTACTTATAGCTCTTTTGTTTCTATACCTTGTAATCCAAAACAAAATTTATATTCAAGGGCACAATACTTCCCCTTATTTTGAATTTTTTAAACTAAATTCTATTCTCTTTGTCAGGTCTCCAGGTCACGGATATACGAAAGAAAAAGGTGTAGAGTTTTTCTTGAAGCAATTACTTCAACAAAAAATGAGTAGGGTGTATAGAAATTTGTAAATTTTTTCGAATTTCGACAATTGTTGAAATACGGAACGCAATAAGGGATAAAATGTTTGCAATTCTTGTAGTTGTATAATACGTTGAAAACGTGCGACCTATCTTTATTTGTCGTCTGTAATCATTCTGAATAATTAAAATTGAGACTGTGAATTACACGGTACGATGGAATTCGAGAATGCTCGAAGGTTCATTAAGGAGGACAATAAGCAGAACGAAGTAGCAAAGGTAGGAGGGGTAGGAAGGAAAGTGAAATATACGTATAACGCTTTCCTAGATTACATTCGATTTCATCGGTCTCATTTTATACAACTTTCTCTTTTGCTATGCCTGACATCGAATATACAAGTATATCCATTAGATGCATAACAATGAAATTACCTTCGAACATAAAAGATAAGTTGCAGGTTGCATGACGTTAAAGAGGGCTAGTCACAGGAAAAATTTGCGAGATGGTTAAATATTGAATGTTAATAATTAATGCGAGTTAACAGAGCAGAATATCGAGAAAATCGATTTTGTTTTCATCGTATGCTCTTAAATTGTATTTTGCACGATGAAAACTATTGCGCACTGCAGTCATAATAACTTTTTTCTAATCGATGACAATAAATTTTCAACAGTTGGACCTGCAACTGCAAGACGAGAGCGGAGGTGACATCAGCAGTTTCATCACTAACGGCGAGTGGGATCTGTTAGGTAAGTTTTTACAACCCTTATCGGGGTTCGTTTCCTCGCACGGGCGAGCAGTTTGCTCACCGTGAAAGCAGTTCTTGGACGATTAGCAATTCTAAAATCCTCGGCAAGTTCTAGGACACAAAGGAGCCCGTGATCAATCGTTTTCATAGGTCTAGACCAGCTGCATCTTACTACCGGGGAGCTTTATCTAATCCAGATTTTCATCAGAGTTACATGTGGCTGTAACGTCTTCGAGAGTTCCAGGGTGAAAATTAATTCCAAAGTCCGTGTTCTCGCTGAAATCTAATTATTTCAATCATAACTAACTTGAATGAATCTCGATCAAAGATGGTGCACACTTCCTCCAAGTTACTCTTATGATACTTCTCGGATTCTTTATCAAATTTTCGATGCATTTAACACATTAATAATCGCATTTGATGGTCAGCTATTCTTTTACAGTATTATTGATTTATTTATATATTTATTTATTTACGTGATAAACTCTTTGATATAACAGATTAACACAAGGGACAGGAAAAAAATGAAGAAAAGAAGTTGAAAGGAGCAGAAGGTGCATATGTACAAAAAAAAAAGAAAAAGAATGAGAATAAACACGTAAGAAGCAACGAGACAAAGGCAGAGTATAAAGGTACAAAGAAAAATTACAACACAATAACATTATTAAAAACACCCAACTATCAATATTAAAAGAAATATGTATTTCATATGAACGGAAAAGTTAAAAATAGAATGTAAGATGTTTGTGATTCTCCTAATAATTTCAGCATTTCTTGTATCTAGAGAGAACGCACGTGTTTACAAGATGAAAATTATAAAATAAAAGTATCACGTTTTGCGGCCACGTAGGTTTTATTTCTGGGACGTATACGCGCAAAGTGCCGGTATATACGCGACATGCATAGAGAGCTTATGAAGCAGGCAAAAATGTATCTTAAGTGATTTCAGCCGGAACAAAATGTGGCTATAACGGAAGAAACACTTGAAAATGAAGTCGCGGTCTTTCTTCCGCTATGTTGCTCGAGATAGTTCAAGTGCATAGTGTACGTCGCGTAAAATAGTTGAGTCATCGCTATCGAGCCTAGTAGCCTTTTATTTCCATGAGCTTTTTCCTTCCTAGGTGAATCCGTCGTCTCTGAACACTTGCCACTTTTACGCTCGTTGCACTATCATCGTTGCGTTACCCTGGTTGTCTGGCGAGTTGTACAGTTTCTAGAAAATAAAAACTTCAACGAGAATTGAAGAAAACTTAATATTTTTAACGTTACGTTTTTTTCCTTTTTTATAAATGAGTAACACAGAGTCATACAATTAAAGAATATTTTGTACATTCTACGAAACATTCATTCACAGAATAATTATTGAGTACATTTAAAAGTAACAGTTATATCGCGTTGAACATCGAGTTGTATTGTATTGTACTCAACACTGTATGATCACAGATTATTTTTTTATTTTTTATAAATAAGCGTGCATAAGCATAAACCTGTTTCGATTGTAACAGAGATAATCTACGATTCTATTCTTTCTTTTCTTGTTACAGGAGTACCTGGTAAAAGAAACGAAATTTATTACAATTGCTGCCCAGAACCGTATATAGATATAACGTTCGTGGTTATCATCAGAAGGCGGACTCTTTACTATTTCTTCAACCTCATCGTGCCGTGTGTCCTGATTGCCAGCATGGCCGTTCTGGGATTCACCTTGCCACCCGATTCCGGCGAGAAACTTTCTCTAGGCAAGTTAGATTACCGCTTCTGCATATCAGAAGATTAAACGGTATCTATCGTTGTCTGTGCTATCGTTAAGATTACAGTAAGAAGCTGGTAAATGATTCAAGAATTTTTATTTCTTCTCTGATCATTCTACATTGAACGTCGATTGGCATGGCCCGACGTTAAAGCATTATAATTATGTCGCCAAACATGGTTAGTAAAACTCTGACCAGTTATTCAGCATTAGTGCGCGACCACGCCAACGCGTTCACGAAGTCATTGCATTATTTCGTTATGAATTCTACTCGAGATTTCGGTGATTACTCTCTCCCGGCAAGTTCAAATCGCTAGCTAGCATAATTGCAATTCCTTGCAGGCTTCGAAACACACTATAACAGCTCACGTGATTAGATTCAGTCGAGTTCTCGTAACGTATCGAATTGTATGGGAAATTACCGTCGCGTCGATGTCGATCGCAGACATTCATACGCCAGTGAAATACTGGAATTTATTGATCGCCTTTTGTAGTTTTGCGTTTCATATACGCGGAACGATCCTTTTAAAAATGATAGACATATCTATGTTTCAACGTTCCCCGTGAAAGTAACTAACGTCTTAGAAAGTTGAAAATTCAGTTTGTAGACACCAATTAACAAGCAAAATTCTAATTTCCTGTTACTTGACCCTAACGTAAATTAGTTATACGATAGGGATTGTATATAGTTGAAACATTAAACTCGCTCCTTAACTTCATACTATAATTGGTAAAGTTTAAAATAAAATTCGTCTTGAGCATACTCTATCGCTCAGGAACGGTAACTCGATTCTGCCTTTAGTCTTTTTATTATCTATCTACAAAAATTCAAATATTTATCCAAGAAATTAAAGATTTAAAAGATGGATACGACAAAAAGAGCCAAACAAATTCATTATTCAATTTATTAAGCGTCTAATACTTCAACGATGATAGAATGCAACAGATAATAACTGACCAAGCCGCGGGAGTTTGAAACATATAGTCCGTGTAGTTTAAGATAGGAAAGATCAGGACTACCTGCTTCGTAATATTTTTTGAGTCCTCGAGCATCAACAGCTGCCTACCTTTCAGCCTGTTGTGGATTAATCTGGTTTGGTTATCGAGTTGCTTTACAGTGATAATTAATTGCTTGAACGAACCTCTTTTGCAGGGGTAACCATTCTCTTATCCCTCACTGTGTTCTTGAATATGGTGGCCGAGACAATGCCAGCGACTTCGGACGCCGTGCCTCTGCTGGGTAAGTCCGTCAATAATCGACTCCTTTTTTTACTACTTCGTTGTTACCTACTCGGTATCTTTAAAATCGTTCCCGTGGTGGAGATAATATCAGGTTTTTCCTTCTTTTCTCTTTTCTTTTTTTTTTCTTTTTTGAACGATTCGTCCAGGGGGCAATGGAGCGTTTCATAAATATAAAGACACAAGTTGGCTGATCTTTTATTTATAGTTCACCTAAGACTTCAAATATTGGAACGTGCCTAGAGTGAGACGGATAACGTTTCTAAAAACAGAATTCGGAAGATTCTATGGCACCTCGGTGTTTTTGGAGATGATCCAGGGAATTTTATCGCTATTTAACGTTCATGTGTACGTTCCGCGTATTGAAAGATGGATTAGTGCATACTCGGTTTCGTAGTTTCATTGGAAATTTGGGTCGAAGCCCATGCTGGAATTATATAATACAACGAAATCATCTTATTTTTTTTTGGAAAACGTATTTTCTCTTACACGATATCACATTCTTTTTCATCATTAAATAATTTATAGCGCAGCATCGATAACCGAATATATTTCAATGGATCGGATCATTGCGCGATAAATGTATGAAACTGTATTTAAGTTTAAACTAAAAAGTTTCAAAGATTGAGAGATCAAACGTTTTGTTTTCATAAATGAATGTTAAAGATATTTAACATGTTATTCTCATCGAATAACTTTGTTGTTCGAAAATCCATTTGTACTCTTAAATATAATATTTAAATCCGAAATACAAGCTTGATAGAATATTGGGAATTAACAGATATATTTTGATAATGAGATTAAAATTTATTTTCAGAAACCATTTTTCCATATTTCATCTCTGCTTGCAGTTTGATATATTCCTTTGGAAAAAATCCAATATTGTGATCGGGAAAAAGCGAATCGTATTTTCTGTCGAGATATATTCTTATGACATACTACAAAACGCAGGGAATATTCTTTAGTGTTTTGTAAATCTGTTCGCATAAGATCTATCGTACTCAAGGTTTATACAAAGATCTTGGATCATGTTACACATACATCTGTTCGTAATGTCTTTATACGTAATACGAGTGAGGCTTGTTGTGCACAGTCCTTTATCCTCGACTGACGATTCCCTATTGCAGTCAGAACTATTCTACTGACAGAGGTAGTATCTTGACAGTAGTAACAGATCGTACAGGTTAGACGCGAAGCTGGGACAACAAACGTCCATTGACACCTTGATCGGGGATAGCTGAAGGGAGGATTTTGAAATTGTGGTTGATATTTCGATGAAGACTGATGGAATTATAATCAATTCACAATTTCGATATGTTGTTTATAGTGATATGCGGTTTCCGAGTTGGTCAGTAGAACGATCGGTTTTAATTTGGCGGTTTATCACGTTGGTTATACTTTCTTGAAACATTTAATATTTTCACAGGAACATACTTCAACTGTATCATGTTTATGGTGGCCAGCAGTGTAGTCAGCACCATTCTTATTTTAAATTATCATCACCGGAACTCTGACACTCATGAAATGTCTGAATGGGTAAGCAAGTTTTTCATCAGATTAATTAGGGTTATAAAGAACATCATATTGAGAATATTTCGGGAAACTTAAGTGTTGTTGTGTATGTACAAAGAGTAAATACTTCTGATTTCACCGCATATATGGCTTCAATTAACCTGAGTTCATGTGCTTCCAAATACGCTTTAGGTTTACTTCAGTTATTAACTGGATTTACTTTTTCGAGTAACACTAAGTTTCCACCTTACACGAGTTTTATTGTCTATTATACCCTGTGGGTTATAAGAATCGCATGAATGGTATTTTCTATTAATTTTCTAATTTGTTAAATATTATTTCATGTATCAAAGCCAATATCTAATTTTAGAATTGAAGCAATATGGAAGTTTAAAAATTCGGTAATAATGTTGAAAGCATACAAGAATAATAGCCAATTATTTCGTATTCTGTATTTCATCGATCATAATTTTATCATTATATTATTTATATTTCAATCTTTCAGGTGAGAGTGGTATTCCTTTATTGGCTGCCATGTGTACTTCGTATGTCACGACCTAGTGATAAAGAAGAGAGGGAGGCACAAAAGTCTCAGAAACCGTCTCCAGTCACCGGTAATTTAGTGACACGAAAAAGCATCGACACAAGTACTGACAACATTTACTATTATCTATATAAATGTTTTTCTATGTCATATAAACACCGATCTCAGTCACACACTACAAAATTGTGCACAAAGCACTTCGAACCCGACTTATTTTAGGTTATGTATATAAACATATTTGAAGATATACAAGTACTATCAAGAAAGTAAAACGTTGCCAGAATCCATTTCTTCTTTCTTTTACATTTTTTCTCTCCTTTAGTAGCTATGTTGTACATATACTACTTTACTACCTTTTTAGAGTAGTTCTAAGTTGTTTCTTTTCTTTGATTTTCTGTTCTTATAAAATCGAAAGAATTCTTAAAGACGACTATTATTCCTCTTCAAAAACTGATTCCCAACGATGTACATACGCTATACTATTGCCATTCCAAGGATATCCTTGGTAAATTATTTATTTGTTTTTCATGTACGTATGAATTCGAAAAAATTCTCAGACTTTATTTAAAATAAAATAGTATTTATCGATCGACTCTTGTCTCCCCTTTGTATCCTACCCCCATTTTATGTCTCATTATGGACCGAATGCGATAAAAACTCTAATCAACTATTGCTTTCACTTACTATAACTATTTCTCAAAACAGGTGCTGGTAAGAGTCACGGTGACCTGGAGCTTCGTCAGAGGAGCAGCAAATCCCTCCTAGCGAATGTCCTGGATCTCGAGGACAATGCTCTGGCGTCCCATAATAATCTCCTGAATAACGTGTACAGTACCCCTGGCCCTCACCATCACACGATGGGCCATGGGCATAGTCACATTCACACGACGCCCCATCATCATCATAGCCATGCTGCAACACCGCATCATCAACATTCAACGCCACTGGCACACTCCTCTTATCCGGGGGCGATTCAAATCGGTCACACGCCGCATCATCATCCACATCCGCCAGATACGCCAGGTCCCCAGGTCGAAACAATACTTCAAAACGCGTGTTTCTGTGCCCGAAACGAGCTCATTATGATCCTCAAAGAAATTAAGGTATGTTTCTCACAAAGTCGTCGTTGTGAGTTAACGGAAACTGTTTCCATCATTCGTATTTTCTCATGTTGAATTACCTTAACCGTATGTTTTTCTTTAAAAAAATACTGAATCTATTTGTTCCATTTATATTTCATATTTTTGTTTCTTAATTTTGATAAAAAATTTTTAGGCTGACTACAGTATTTATTCCAAGAACAATTTCTTTTCTCAAGTTATTTACGCTTAAAAGTAGAGTAAAGTCTCTCTTATAGAGCGTATACATTCTTAGTCACTTCAACGTTTACAAACTTGAGCTCCTACTTTATTTTCAATAGAAAGAAGTGTCGGCCATTAATAATAATGAGGATGACAATTAGCGAGTTCTTGTGAAATATGCGCGATGATGCTTCGGCTAATTACCAAGTGTACACTCATTTTAATTTACCCGTAAGTGGAGAAACTTTCGTGTAAACTCGCATGTAGTATAATACCGAAACATCTACCGACGAGGTTCGCTGACGAACGTGAAACCATTCTCTGTTCTATGACTGTTTGTGCAGGATTATTAAAGCCTGTCTGTTTCTCGAGTTTCAGAACTGACACGGCAAAGTCAAACACTCGAAATCTATCGGTGTTCATAATTATAAACCGAATATTTGATAGAAACTTCAAGATCAGTCCTGGTTCCATGATAGAGACAATTTTAGACAATTGCGCGGTCATTGTGTATTCTGACCAGTTCCGGGAATTCTATTGTACATTTCCTTCCTGGAATTAGAAAGAGATTGAATTACATTTCTCAAGAAAATGGCCATTGTCGACACTTGACAGAAGTATTTGGCTCAAAAAATCTTTGATGCAATTAATTGTTTAACTTGGTAATTATTATACATGCAATTATGGGGATTATCGTATAATAATCATGGGATTTTCAATTTTTCATGGGGCTGATTATACGCTGAGTAAATAAATTGGTCCCAGAAGAGGATAGTAAGAGGGTTTCGAAGTCACAGAGCGATCACAGTTCAAGAGGGAGTCTATCTGTTAAAGGATAAATTAGGACTTCCAGTGCTTATTATCGTGATTTATATTAATGCATTCGACAGAGCAGCAAATGCGCTCGACGTAATTTCAAACGTACACATGGGATTCTCAATTATATATTAATATTTCAAGGGACGCGCGCGCGAATGTAAAGAGCGAAAGATACGACTTCAGGGGTTGACGCACTGGTAACTTGCTTTCGTTTTAGATCACGGCTTCGTCTCTTAAAATATTCATACATAAACATCTTCTATTTAGCGAGCGATGATGTTACACGCAAATTCATTTTTATATAATTCATTATCAGTTTCGTATTTATTAATTTACTGTCTACAAAGATACACATGTTGGGCACTGACCGATTAAAATTTTTAGACTGACTTAACGAGTACCATTAAAACTAATTATTGAAAATCTAGATTGATTTAATAAGTGGAACCAGTCACTAATCTGTTTAATCAAAAATATTAATCGGCCACACTGACCCATAACCTGTCTAAGGATCGCAAAGCATATCCATTGCAACGACAAATATCCCATTTCCTCTAACACAACCGCTTTCATGAAAACCGTACTTCCTGAAAACGAGCGTCATACATCATACACGGCTTCCTGTTCCAGATAATCACGGATCAGCTGAAGAACGAGGAGTTGAACACCAAGGTGACGAATGACTGGAAGTTCGCGGCGATGGTGATCGACAGAATGTGCCTAATCATTTTTACTCTGTTCACCATCATCGCAACCATCACCGTCCTACTGTCGGCGCCGCACATCATCGTCACGTGATTTAGAAAAGTACAGATAGCCGACTACACGTTGGCGGTCGACGAGGATCGTGCGTTGCGCATCGGTGCGGACGGCGAGGAACGCGAACATGACGACGACGACGATGACGACGACGACGACGACGACGATGACGACGACGACGACGATGAATGAATTTCTTTTAACCATTTTTTTATACTGAATAATTCATTCTGAATCGCGTCAGTAAATTGATGTTCGTAAGGAAAGCAAGCTTTTATTGATTCGATGTTGAGCATCCAAGTTTCGTTCCAGTCCAAAACAAAACCTTCGTTACTTTGTCGTTCTAGTCGCACCTCTTCGCTGCTCAATACTCTGATTCAACGACGACGACGACAATGACGATGATGACTACCACAATCTGGTCCATGCTAGGATTACGCGAACAACGTTTACAACGATGTTTCTCCTACGCTTGGTTGTCCAGCTGATTGGAAGTCGAGCCTGAGAGTCATGTGTTACGCCCCGCTTCGGGTGATCCGCACTGTTCATAGGAAGAAAATGATACGAGGACACTAGGCTCTCTGTATTATTTAAGATATATATATATATATATATACATATACGTATACGTAAAAAGAGATACGTATATGTATACATATATATATCTTTATGTAGTTCATTCGAAGAGGACGCCTTAGCGAGACACGTTGAAAATGCGCCTACATAGGCGCGTTAAAGGAACACTGACACGCGCGCGCGCGCTCACACCTACATGCACACACGATCGCATACAAACATGCAGGCCACGCCGAGGTATGTGCATCTCTGGCATTTGTTGTGCCGCGATAGGGATGGAACGCGAACGATCGCGAGCCTCGAGTTCCGTTCGGTTCGAGCTGACGCAATTTTTTGCGGAAAATTGAATATATGCAACATGCTGACGCTGAACTGACTAGTGAAGCGAAAGTAGTTATATCTTCCTCATATTTTTTCTTCGTTGCATAATTTCTATCAAAATCATCCAATTTCAGGTTTGTTAAACGAATATATTTAAGTTTTCGAATATTAGAAATTGTAATTCTCTTATTAATCGCAGTGTTAATTTTAATCCGATATCTGATAGCTGGGAAATATTACGTTTTATTCGTTTTCATGGATATTACTTTTCCTTGCATTCTTGCGATAGTGAGAATAGAGAAAAATATCTTCGTTATTGTTGTTCTTATTATTAAGTTATCTTAAAGTGTCGCTTTTGAGTACGACAACTTGCTATCTATTTGACCACGTTGTGAAAAGTATTTTATTCTTTGAAAACTATTTCGCTGAAAGTGACGTGACGAATAGTTTGACTAAAATTTTAACGAAAACATTCGGTTTTGAAACACGCTTCAATAATCGTTGCACGGGATGCAAATAAATCTGCGTACACGCATGTGAAACACGAACACGCATACACGTACACGCACATATACACGCGTACACACGTAAGAGACAGAACATAGAAACAAAGAGCACCGAGAACCGTCGAAGGGTTTGAATTTGTTAAAGAATAAATCGAGTTGCCCGGTACGGTCCACGATTACGAAACGATTTTTCGTTCAATTCTCGTACGACCGTACCAGCCAGAGAATCTCATAAAAAACGAGAGAGAAAAAGAAAGAGAGAGAGGAAAGAGAGATATACAAACAAAAGAGAGAGAAGCTGAAGAAGGGTACACCGCTCCTTTTATTGTGCTTAAAAGAGAGAAAAAGGTAGAGAGAAATAAAAAAACAGAATAGAAACAGACGAAAGAGAACACACGATTAAGAGCAAAGCGCACACGTTAATATTCTGAAAAACTGAAAAAGCAACAAAAAAAGCAAAAAAAAAGAGAATAATAAGTAAAAATAATAACTACACACAATGAACTGCCAAAATGTTTCAAAACAATGCCAGTGAATTTTATTATCCGTATCACTAGTAAGTAAAATCGACGACAACTTAAATAAAACGGGGGATTTATACTACGATTATAAGATGGCGTGCGATAGCGCGGCGTTTAAAACAAAAGAAAAAAATAAAATACTGTTCTTTGTTAGCTCGTAAGAGAAATCCGGCGTAAGCAAGCGGAAACAGTGAGAGAGAAAGAGCGAGAGAGAGAGAAAGAAAGAAAGAAAGAGAGAAAGAGAGAAAGAAAGAAAGAGAGAGAGAGAGAAAGAGAGAGAGAGAGAAAGGGGGGAGAGGGAGAGAAAGAGTGAGGACGCGAGTATATGAATGACTTCAGATGAAATGATGACGATGATGACGATTGTCTTAGCGTAGCATCTTTCTTCATTTTCACACATTTTTTTCCCTTCTATCGGCGGACATCGTTTGTTGTTGTCCCTCTGTACACGCTTGTACAAGCGCACACACGGTACATACTCTCTCTCACACACCACCAATACGTACATAGACACTACGCACTCCGTTGCGTTGAGTTTCACACACGTTACACACCCGCTCCACACATGTCTCACACTTACGTTAACACAAGACGGACATGCGTACACAAGCAAAAACTTTTTCAATCTAACGTTCTAGGGAGTCAGGCTTTCGCATCCTCGAGATTCTCGCGTGACTCCCGGCGAACTCGACGTTCGCTATCTAGGTAACGAGGCGTCTACCTATCACAATCGGATCCGAGATTCGCAACGCGATTCCAAAGCAACTCGAAGCTGTTAGTGTATATTTACTTTTTTAAGTCGAGTCGCCTTCGAACGATGCGAATCTCGAAGATCCTCGATGGACGAGCGACCGTGCGGCTTCCTTTCGAATATTCCCGAACGCAGTCCGGTTCTGGGTACTTTCCCCTCATTCTTCGAACCAGCAACCGACTCGATTCTATGCTATCTGACTGTACGCGAAACTGAATATCAAGATCTCGAGCGATCGCACAAGTCTGATTCTTGAATAATCTCTTGCTATTCGACCGCACGCTACTCGCCCTAAATGGCCAAACCATTTGCAGTTCGTCTGTGAAAGTACCCACGTCGGATTATCCGTCAACGGGCGCACAGCAGTTCCGATTGACTTTTGCTGTCTGTCGCTGCAAAATGGGACCCCTTTCCTACAAAAGTATATTGCGAGAACTTATGAGAGATCGATAGTTATGAAAAGAATTGAAAAATTGTCATTCAATGCGTATCGAAATTTACGAATAAACAAGAAAAAATTGTTTTCAAGAACGATTAGTCTCGCTGCATTGGTATTCGCATTAATTAGGAATTGCATTGTGCTGAATGATATTTTTTATCGAACGTCGCGCTTCGTTTAGTTTCATAGTGAATATTTGTTTCGACGACAAGACAAAAAAACACTTCGTCAGGCTTGACGTATTTTCGGAATCGAAGCTACCGTAGTAGTTAAGTTGTAACGTGTACTACACGCGATCGTCGTTCGTCTGGTAGTGTCTCGTCGAATTTTCTGTCGACCACGAGTCTAGAAGCAGGAAACATTTTAGTCAATATATAAGAATGCTCAGTATTTAATACGATATTCCATTTACTATTTTGACTCGTGACCAGACTCGAGATTCGAGACTCGTAGATGCTCGAACGAATCGACGTCGCCGGGAAATAGCATTTCCTTTTCGAGCTGTAAGAGTCACCGTGTTTTTCGAGCAACGTTAGATTTCATGCTGTACATACTTCGTTAATTTCGATAACTCGACGGTTTTGTTTCATTTCGACTCGTTTCAGGATCAGCTTACATTGGAACAACGTGGTGCCATAGTTTTGTTATATGTGTAACAAACTCTTATTTATTACAGTTTAATAAAACCTCGTCATAGTTTGTTTTATGTAATAACAATTTGAATATTTCGTGTTTCGTACAATCCATTTTAAATATTTAAGAACAATTCTCTTAATTAAGTAATGAATGTTTATAAGTTAGTCTTATTATTTCCTGAAATTATACAAATCGACGTTGTTCCAATGTGATAAAAGTTCAATTAGCGCATTATCTACATTTAACTAACCCGCGCATATACCTAAATTTCCACGACTTCGGGTGGTCATCTCGATTAAAAACAGTGCATACGAGAAGCATATCTTTAGACGCAGGAAATTAATCCTAACATTCCTCAGTGTTTAATACGAGCACGAAGCACATTACCGAACCAAAACTTAGCTCCCTTAGAGCAGAATAATTTATTCCTCTCGCAAAAGAATAAAATTGAAAAAACGAACGCTCAAAAATGCAAAAAATAGAATTTAAAAAACAAAAATAAGCAAACGCAATCTTGTAGACTGTGTTAAATAAACAGAAACTGGAGAAATACTCGACAACTAACTTAGACGAAGAAGCTTGTCAACGCAAGTAGAAGAAAAGAAACATCGGAATCTCGTTAACGGATAGTCTCGCAGGCGGGTTTTGTTAAACATATACTAAACCAAAACAAGAAAAAAAACGAAAAAAAACTATAGCACGTTTTGGCCATTGGCATTGACGCGACAACCAATCACGTTATCTTTTAAATACTATTATAATGGTTACAAAATAATAATTAAAAAAAAAGTTGTTAACAATGTTAAAGGAACGATTTAAAATGAAAAAAAATAATAGTACGTAGAGGATATAAACTATAATCGATAATGCCTCGATTGGTGGAATAACCATTCTCGATCTTTAAATCAGCTAACTAATTAAACTTATAAATTAAATTTAAAGCACTTAATGGTTCGCGCCGGAAGGTTTTGTTAGAATACAGTACTAAGTAGGGAAGACAAAAAAAAATATTTAAAAAAAATTACGGTTATCTCAAGTGAATGTCATTAGGGAAGCAAAAGAATCGCGGAAAAGATGTTAACGAAGATAGTTCGGCATGCCACAGTGTCGAGTCAAGTAAAAAATGAAACGAAATAAAAAAAAAAGAGAAAAAAGGAAACGTAATAACATTAATACGATGAATTATGCGTTTAAATGTCACGGTTTCAACGACTTCGTTTCGCGATGGATTCTTTTTTGAACGTGTTTCCTTCTTCCCAGCGACAGCTGCAAAATCAAGGATAGCCAATCGCGAAACGAAACGACTTTCTGTGGTGGTTAGTTCTTGGTTCTTTTCCGCAAACACGTTTGCTGTAGTTCAAGTTGGTGGAAAGAGTCGCATGGCGACGATTTATTGTTAAAGCGCGACCGATTCGAGCCCTTCGTTAGCCAATTTGAATTTTCAAGTAACTTTCAAGAAATCCGTGCAATGAATGTAACATTATTGATTTTTGGATTATTTGATTCGCAAGATGTAAGAGCTTCCAGAAGTAGATAACAT